TATAGTCAAAATCAAAAATTAATTTTAACAATATATTTTATGAGATAGACAACTTTTGAACTATACATTTAATCAATTTTTATTAAAATCTATTAAAAATAGAAATTTGTTATTTTTACATGCTTGTATACACTCTCCTCCATGAGAAGGAAGGGGCGCGGGCCCCATTTTGTGAAGGAAGTGTACACAAGCGTGTCACACAGCACCTTTAAAAATATGATTTTTTTATTTGAACCAAACACGGGCTATATGTCTAATCTAAAAGTCTACTAGTGGAGATGGAATATTCATTTACATCTCGTTTCAACATAAAACCCATGTTTGGCGTAGTTAAAAATAAAATTTTTAGTATATTTTGATAAAAATTGACGATATATGTGGTTAAAAAATTGATAAAATTTGTGGGATCTATGAAATGTACAGATAATTTAATTGTTGTTTTTGACTTAATTTCTTATCTACTTTTTAAGTTACAACAAAACATGAGCAAAGAATAGAACTGTTGGTTGTTTGGGAGGAGACGACGCACATGGTAGGTTTGCAAAGACTCTCACCAGCAATATGAAAATGGAGGATGAGGCAAATGAAATGTTGGCTGATATTTGAAGGGAAACCATGAGCTTGAGTGGTTTTCAAAGGCTCCCGGTCAAGGAAGGCTAAGAATAAACGCATTCTAGTTTTCATTCGAAAAAAAAAAAAAAAATTCCTTTTTCGTTGCCTGCTTTATGTAACATTTGAACAAACTATTAACTAGTAGGAAATAAGAAAAATTAAACTCACCTTCTTCCATAGTTCAGGATCGAAGACTTCTGTAGTGACATTGAACATCTTTATTGCATAAGCAGAGGCATAACCTTTGTTATCACATTGTTTCCTCCTCATCTCAGAAACAGGCCTCCTGTACGATGTTAAGGTCTGTCCATTTCCAAGGTTGTCCACTCCGTCGTAATAGTAGATAACTGGTCTTCGACACGGTTCCAAGTTCATAGCCCGAGTATTAAATGTGAACGGTTCCTCACCCCAAGACCCCCATGTTAAGAACGACTGCAATGGCGTGCTCAAATCTTTTGCCGTCACTAAGGTCGGGTACAATTGCACGGTGTAGCCCCAAGAAATAGAAATTGACCAATTTCGACTAAGGTCATAGCAGAAACAGAGTTGTACCGCCCGACTGGGATCTTTCTTGTAAGCCTCGACAAGTTTCTTGACTGAGTCTATCCGGCTCATGCCTGGAAACAAGGGCTGGACATAGTCTAGATGGTGCAATGATACCAATGGTGCCAATGGATGTGCAGCTAGTAATCCGTACAGATTTCCTCTTATATCAAACTATAGGGCATAAATTATTTCAAGACCAAAAAATTAGTATTTTTAAATCTATAGTCCCCACGAGAAGAATTAAGTATTCTTAAGATTGCCTAAGTGATGAAAATGTATTTTATTTATAAAAAAAAAATAAATAAATAAACTAACTTGATGTCATATAGAATAGTTCATCGGCAAGATTAAGAAAGAGAGAAGTACTGAAAAAAGGAATGCACGGTACCTGATGAAATCCAAGCTCTTTGGTAAGAGGAACACCGATCTCACTCATGCAAGCCCCAATCTTTTTATCAGAGCCGTAGAATGATGCGTACCGATCAATGCACCCATCCAAAACCCTAACAAGCTCTGCCGCCAGAGGGTAACTAATAGCAAAACCACCGCCTCCATAAGCCATGGCGTAAGAATGTTCAACATCTTGCTCAACACTCTCTGTGACACGACCCGTCTCGATCACCCTAATGGATCCGACACGTGTCGTGCGCCGATGGTAGATACCAGCTAAATGCCGGACCCA